GTGCTCCATACTTCTAGAATGACCTCCTCTTCTTTCTTCTCCTTCAAGTTCACCAAAACACACACACCAAGCTAAAAAATGTTCTCAAATAGATTAGGGTTTGAAAAGGGGCCGAAATGAGGGTTGGAGTTTGATGAGAGGAACGAGTCTTAGGGTTAAGGATGTTTCATAGGGTCCAAACCCTAAAAATTAGGGTTTGTACCCTGGCCACGTATACCCATCGTACTCACTATATCCCGTGTACGCCCAACGTACATACACAGATCCCAAAATTACAAAAATTCCCCTTGAAGACCAAATTGTAAACAATTTTCATACTAAGGGGGTTAAGGTAAATACCTGGAAATCGAGATGTTACATTTTATACTAGTTGTATTAAGTTAGCCCATTCCACTAATTCAAGGGCCAATGTTAATATTGTCACACGCCAGATAAACTAATGAAATGGGAGTGAGAATATATGGTGTGTCAAGCGTGCAATGTGAATTCCGATTTTTAAGTCTTATAAACAGTTTCTATGGAAACTCTAAATGTATCGACAATGCTTCCACTTCTCCAGAATCCAACTAACAATAATTACTTCTTGATTGTTTTATTATATTTACTTCTTTTTATAGTTTATTTTAACATATTTCATTTCATTTAGTTAATTTTCACTTTCCTTTTTGTTATTTTATATCTATATCTTTGAGTATAATTTCAGATTTTTAGAAGACTAATATGGAGCAGATATGTTCGGGGATCGCAAGAATCCATTAGGCTTGAGGATTAAGGAATCGTGGGCTTGGTGACACTTATAGGGATGAATGGAAGATTCAAGAAGTATGGGCCTTGAACTTAAAAAAAGATGGAAGAAATATTTGAGCTTGCAGATTTGATTGGTCGAGTGGGTATTCGAGCTTTGGATGACTAAGTGGAGGTGAATTGGACCAAAATTGAAGAAAACTTGAAGAATCATGTGCTATAATTTAAGAACCAAGATTTAGGTTAATTATGTTACAAAATGTCATTTTGATGCTAAGGGAATTTTGGTCCTTTTTATGATATTAAAACTTGTGGAATGCTTTGTTTATGTTTTATTCCATTATCAAGTATTATAAAGTTATTAGAATGTAGTATTATGGCGTAAAATGGAATGGAATTGGTAAATGCAAGTATGGAATGGAATGAGGTTGAAAAAAGGAATAGAAATAAGGAATCAGGCAATCCCGCAGCGGTAGAAGGATTTTCGTGGCGCGGAGTTCGAAGTACATTGCTATGCAGTTTGGTCGTCATGGCGTGGAATAAGAGATGACCATGACTCGTTAATGATTTCCGTAGCGCGGTAAACACCTTGACATGACGCGATTTTGAATAGATTTAAATCCAAGAGTTAGGGTTATTTGTTCTTTACCAGCCCATTTTTCTCTCCAAAGCTTTCCTCCGACGATTTCAAGCTTCAAGAAAGTTCAAGTGGCGATTTCACTTGCTTGGGACTAGGTAAGACCATCTCAAACCCTTGTAGTGGTTAGTTTCTCTATTTTCAAGCTTTTGAAGGTGTTAATGTGAAATTCGATTTTAGGGTTTTGATGTTAGATTCTTCCAAGTAATCTTACTAATAATGTTTGATTAAGTGTCTAGAAAATTAATCCATGGTTTATATGAATTTTTCATGGTTGAAATCCATGATTTGATTCTAGGGGTTGAAACCCTAGAAATGGAAATGAAGAAAGATGATGATTGTATAGCTTAATCTAGTTAGGATAAGTGTTTGTTATCTTGATTAGAATGGTTTGACAAACATTTGATCAAAGAATGGTCAAGTTAGGGTTTTGTCCAAAATATGAGTTTTTGGCTAAAATTACAAGTGTTGTCTTAACGGATTAAGACATGTATGAAAGGCTTAATGTGTTGTATATGGACTAGGTGGTAGCAAGGAGGGATTGGAAGTCTCTCAAGTGAAGCTTTGGAAGAGTTGGAAGTAGGTTGTTATTCTTCAGCCCAAGGTGAGTTTATACTTCTCTTTTAGATATGTTCTCAGCTTTTGGCTCAAAAGAAGAAGAAAAAATAAACTATTTATGGTCCTTACTCTTCTTTATATATTTATGCTCACAAATGCAAGCCTATGCTTTCATTAAATGAAGACCACGACTTGCAAGTAAGGTGCTATGTGTAAGAATGATCAAAGCAAGTAATCCACCATACCTTCATATATATGGACGGTTTACAAGAGAAAGAAAGGGAAGAAGTGTTGAACACTTCATCTCATTATTATAATGTACATGTAATAAACTAATGAACTTCTATAAGTCCAAAAAGTTGTACACAACTTATTTAATCATACCATGTGATATAAATAACTATTTATACTCTCTCTTATTGTTGTTTTCATAAAACAATAATTCTCCAATTAAATACAAGTTTTATTAATGTTTATTAATAATCAAATTCTAATATATAATCAATAAGTGACAACTTGCTATAATGTGTGACTCTATAAGATCATATGTTATTAGAAAATATCATTCTATAATGATTATTGGACATTTAGATCTTTCATTTCTTATTTATTTAAGTTTTTCATTATGGCATGTCTTCTTCTTAAGAGCAACATATTTTGTAACTTGTCCGGAAATTTGGATTCCTTGATGCCAATCATATCCCGTCTCATCTCTCATCGACTCCACACCAATCCAAGAAGTCTACTTAGCCACTTATTGGACCCACTTGATATATTCAAATCATGAGATCCGTTTAATACGCGACACTGACTCAACCAAATCTTTCATTTGCATTTAAAAAAGTTTGTACATCCATGCTAAACAGTAAACATATAGGTACCACTTATCAATTGGCAATTGTCATACATATTATTTGCCACCTTCAAGACTTTGGTACTCATGGGTTTTTCTTTCGTCTTAACTTTCATCTCCCCTTCGACTAGACTTAGGGATGGCAACGGGTACGGGTATATCGTGTTCCCCATCCCCATACCCGAATCCCTATCCCCATACCCAAGCCCATCCCCATCGGGGATTAAAAATCTATCCCATCCTCATCCCCAATGGGGAACGGGGATCCCCAATGGGTAATCGGATATTTTTCCCCATTACAAAGTTTTGAACATTTATGAAAAATAACGCATAGTTATATATTAACCAACAAAACAAAAACTAATAGATTTAATATAAAACACTATAATCACCGAATCTATTCAAACATGAACAATAACATTCAAGTTTACAAATTATACCATTTTTTGCAAAAAAAAAAATGTCTTTCAAAAATTACACGTTTGATTGTTGAAAAACCTTACTATGACTACTGACTTACTTTCGCTTATGCATTATGATTTATGTATTGATTAAAAAGAAAAACATAAATAATACTATATATATATATATATATATATATATATATATATATATATATATATATATATATATCGGGTACCTATCGGGGTCGGTTTTGGGTACGGGTATGGGTACCCGACAGGTAGAACCATCCCCATCCCCATCCCCGATTTTTACATTCGGGTATAATACCCATCCCTGTCCCCAACCCCGGTCAAATAGGGGATTTACCCGGTCAACTTGTGTTAGGGTTTCGGGTACCCATCGGGTACGGGTTTTTTTTGCCATCTCTAACTAGACTCATTGCATTCATACATTTAGACGGTTTGTGTGGATTACCGAAAATCCACGGGATTTTTTTCGATCCTCCGAGGTGCACTGCAATCATGAAGGAAAGCAGAGAAGAAAACGTAATTATATATAAGAGATAGAACCTAGGTAATTTTGGTAATCCACACCAAAATTACCTAGGTTTTATCTCTTATATCATAATTACGTTTCTTCTCTGCTTTCCTTCATGATTGCGGTGCGATATCTTGGAGCCACCTTTTTCTCCTCTAACGCGGTGTTTCATACTCACACAAAACATATTGATGTCAACTTCCACTCTGAGAAGTGAGAAAGTCACACAAAAGGATTAATATTAGTTGATCTCTACACATGATCGACTTGATGATACCTTTAGCAATCAATCTCATACTCCTTAATATTAGTTTATCTCTACACATGATCGACTTGATGATACCTTTAGCAATCAATCACATACTCCTTCATTTGTTTTTCTTTGTTGCTTCAGACTGTTACTCGTCATCCGCTTGTAGGAGCATACCAAACCTAGTATATTTGGGCTAAATGTACTATATAGTTGGATCTCTAGGGCTAGGATCAATGTTCTAAAAAGTTCGTCATGGCTCTGTCATTGCGCGTCATGGTTCTGAGACTTGTACCTGCCGCCAAGCTTTTTTTACCAAAACGTCGTCTTAACTCATATATGTATATAAAATAGAATAATAGTTTAAAATACATATAAAAATATTAATTATATACAAAATTTTCGCCTTAAGTCACGTCTTTCAAACGTCGTGGCTCGCCAAAACTTGGAAAAGCTTGAGGTTTGACATTGCCAACAAGTCACGCCTTACATTATTTAGAACTTGGCTAGGATTAATGTGAAGCATTTTAATATATCATTTCTTACGTTATGCTCATTGCTCAATACAAGGCAAATACACAAGATATTTCCAAAACTTAATCCATCCTTTGCATAAACGAACGACCCAAAGTGAATTTATATCCCACCTTTTTGGGTGGAACAACGAATTGTTATCTTTGTCATATTTATTACAATCCTATTCCCAACAAACATGATACAATACCATTGTATTAAACGGGGCTTCAAGTATTTAACAAAACCAATCGGTTCGATCTAATTTCCTAGAGAACTTATCCTATCAATTTGTGGGTGTATTTCACTAAAACAAGTAGATCCGCAAACTTTTGTTTTCTTCTGTTTTGTGATGAAGAAATAACAAAACAAAGAGAAGTGCAAAGGAAAGACAATGCTGAAAGCAACACCACCCACCACCAACAGTTGAAACTGAAAACAGAATCAAACATATCGTTTTACTCAAAGAAACTTGGAAAACCCACCCATCCACCCACCCACCCACCATCTTTTCCATCAAAAACCTATTCACAATAACATACAACCCCACTAGTATCTACCTACTATATATCTTGAAAATCATAATAAAAAAGAAAAAAAAAATTAAAACTGCAACCTTCAAACTCCACTTTTGATGCATCTTCTACATAGCTACACAGGTATGACATCCACCTTTGATGCATCTTCACATCTCAACACTATGCCCTCCAAGCTTCCTGGCAGCATACACTTTGCCCATTGACACCCTGTTGTGAATGCATCCCCTGGTGGAACTATCATCAGCACATTCTCATTCCTCTGCACTACTCCCATCACACTTACTGTGCTCCCTTCCTTGATATACCTATATCACCCAAAAAAAAAAAAAAAAAAAAAAACCAACATATTAAATTATTAATATTCATTTCCACATAATCAATCAAACACTTACCCTTCTTTCAATCTCATCACACGATCATCACTCGACAGGTTTCTCTCACCCAACCACCTCACAAACTCTGGAGACAAATCTTTATTCAAAGGATTCACATCAACAACTACCGATTCATCCACATAAGGTGTCACCCTTGCTCCATATCCAGTCTTTACCAATGCCCTTAATCCAGATTGGAAATCAGATATGTAAAAATCCACCACATGCCTCTGTCATTTTTAAAAAAAATTATTAATTAATCATTCACATGATGACACAATCACAAACACAAACACAAACACAAAAGCTACTCACTTCTGATGACCTCAGCCCCCATGTAAACTTCCTATGTGTAGGGTTGGCTGCTTTTGAATCCCATCCTCTGTATTCATATAAACTTGTGGAAGTATACACGCATCTTGGAACCTTCTGGAAGGCTGATTCAAGTGGCACGTTTCCACATGTCACCACCTTCATAATTCATAAATAAAGTTTAGAAAAGTAATATGATTTGATTTAAGAGTTGTAAGTTGAAGAATGAAGATTACATACCCCTGAAACCTTGACATATTGACCATCTTTTGCAGTTCTAAGTTCAGCATCAGGATAACGAGCAATGAATCCAATGATGGATTGTCTACCATAACAAGTATTCCAGGTGAACAACGCTGCAACAATGATGAAAAGAACCACCACAATCACAAGGAGAATACCATTGTGCACAGCTCCAAGAATAAACCCACCAGCAATGAATCCCATCACAAACAACAGAATCATGGACCATAATATTATCTTCGGGAAACCCTTCTTGAATGAGTAATCATCGTCTTTAGTAAGAGTAGTCACAGCCTGATTGTTAACAACGCCGTGTACTTTCATCGAGCCCTTAGAGTCCAGAGGGCCAGAAAATTTCCGGGGAGCTCCGGATGAAGTTAATGGGCCGGAAGAGATTGGGCCGGATGTGATTAGGCCGGTTGCAGGGAGGACCGGCGGCAGAGGGCCTGAATTTTGGCGGTTCACCGGCGTCACTCCGCCAGATTGAGGACCGGAAGACTTTTTTATAGGCTCGCCGTGTTTATTTAGTGGCCCTGAGTTTGACTTTTTGACAGATACAGGAACGCCGCCGGTTGACACAGGGCCTGATGTGGAGTAGCTAGACCTGGCGGCGTTTGACATGATTGGTCCTGAATGTGAAGCGACTCCTGTGAAAGATCCGGTTCTTGAAGGACCGGTTATTGGGCCGGATTTTCTTGATTTTGAGCCGTCAGTGTTAATATCAAACATCTTTCCTAGCTCACCGGATTTCTTGATGTCACCACCTGTGTAAACCATGGCTGAAGAGCTCATGGTCGGAGCTCTTTCTTTTGGCTGCTCCGGCCGCCCTGACACATACAGCCCATTACTGAGCTGATGAGATGGGAATCTTGAACCCATCGGCTTTTCTTGTAGTTACTAAACACCCTGAAGACAAAGATAAGTCGATTAAACAAATGGCTTAAGATTTCAGATAAATAAATGAACAAATCGTTATAGATCAGAGATACATAGCATGTTCTTCATACCAGACTACATCTTCAAGTGGTAGAAATAAAGAAAGCCGATAGTTTTAATTTAAATGGACCTCAGATTGTACGATTTTACAAGTATAAAACGTAATTCAAAACCGGACCATCCTAGAAATAGCGTATAAGCAACAGATAGTTGGTCCAACAAAAAGCTAGATCCCAGAAAAAGGGTTAAAAAGAAGGCACATAAGCACGAACACACCCTTTCACTATCCACATAGCATGCCTACAAGAGTAGATCCGGGGAGTTTAGATGCTTGTAGACATCGAAACAACAACAGATAACAATTGCAAAAGTTGAGAGGCAGAAGTGATACTTAAATCTATGATATTCGACATTTCAAACCCAAAAAAGAATACAAGGGCACAAAGTGAAAGACATTAAAAGGGATTTCATGAAAAGTGCATTCATGGCCGATTTACTTCATTTTCGAGATTTGTGTTGGTTCATAAGGGGTTAGCCCAAATACATGAGGAAGAAACAAGTAGAAAAAAGATCTAACAACCCCCAAATAGAAAAAAGTAAACATACATTACCCATGTCGCCATTTTCATCCGAAACAACAGAATTGAGTAAAATCAAAAAAGGGTGAGGGGTGAAGGGTGAAGAGGGTACCTGGGTCTGAAGTGAAGAAATCAAATCTGAAGGGGATAGGGGAACATGTAGTGAACAATAGGGGTCAGAAGAAGAGGCAGATGACTAGCGAGCAGTTAAGAATCGAGGGGTTTTGATGTGATCCCATCGACATATGATATCGGTATGAAAAAAATCTAATCTTTTCTCTTTTCCTTTCAGTCGTGAGAGAGCAGCAACAATTGGTGGGTTGTCTCGTCGCCCCCAAATACCCTCAAACACACACACACACACACACACGAGATAAAAATATATAAAAAAATTGAAGTGGCCAGTACAGTACTACCTGATATACATACAACTAGGAGAGAGAGAGAGAGGTATCTGTATATTGTAATTGTAATTAATAATAAATTATTAGATGAAGAAAAAACCCTCCAAAAATATTTAAATAAAAAAATAAAAAAGGTGGAAACAAAAGACATTGATGGATGGAAATCCTCTTCCCATCTTTGCGTATTCGTGTCTAGGGGAGAAGTGTGGTGTGGCCTGTGGTGGGTCGACCCGACTCAAACAACTGAAGTCTCAACAATTTATTGTTTTTTAAAATAAAGTGGTTGTGTAATTAATGAAACATAAACAACAAGCAAACATCTGGTCTGGATGACACTAATTTTGAAAAAGGCCAAAAACTACTCTTTCACTCCCAAACAAAAGAGTCATTAGGCGTGATGTGTTACTTGTATATGTATGCTATTGGTTTTTGTCATTTTTACTTTTGTCGTATTAGTTATGTACGGCAAGACTCTCCATAAGTATTAAATATTGTGATACAAAACAATTTAGCTACATAAATAATGAAGAACACCACATGGAGGTGATCGAAAATGCCCAATTATGTTGGTTGATGAGTTTGATAGGTACTATAAGCAACATTTGAATTAAAATGAAAGTAAGGTAATAAATACAAGGTGAAGGTATGAGGTATGTATGTATAAGTTGAATGAGACGATGATGATGAAACGGAGGATAGAGGAGTTGGTGATTTGGTGGGGGCTGTGCTGTGCTCAACAGAAATTGATAAGGAAATATTACCACCTAGTATTACCTATACATTATATATATATAATATATATATATATATATATATATATATATATATATATATATATATATTATATATATATATATATATATACACACACACAATGGAAAACCCAATGAACTCCCCTCATCAATAAATTCAAGTAGGCCAAGTGTAATGGTAAAAATGTAGAAAAATCGTAGACATGTACTTGTTTGTTGTGGAAGTTGACAAATGAAGCAAATCCACACATTTAAGTTTTGATACGTCATTCTTGAAATTGGTTTTGAATTGACGGTTGAAGAAACATCATGGCCATCACCATATATTTATTTGTCGACATACTTACACAAATACTGCCAACTCTAATAACGTTAAATTATTAAATCCAACTGAAACTATAAGATAAAATATGTCGTGTATATCTAAAAGAAAAGGAAATAAATAAATAAAAATGCAAAATGCAACGTAACGTTTATCTAGAAAATATAGTCTTGTTTTTAAAATATTAATTATTTTATTAGAATTAGAAGCACCGCTTAAAACGCCACGTGAGTGTCGACTTAACCCCCACCGCCATCCGCGAAAGGCTAATAAAACACAAGAACCCACCCACATCCGGTTCATATCTCAAAATCAAACCGCCTTTGCCAACATGAGAATGAAGACTTCTTTCATCGTCTTGCTTCTTTCGTTACTCATGTTCTTCCTTTTTACATCAGACTCTATTCAAGAACAGCAGCAACAACAACCTCTTCCTCTTCATATGAAAATGAAGACTCTCCTCACCAATATCCAATCCTACCTATTTCCTCCCAACCTGGAGTAAGTTATTCCCTTTTATTTTATTTTTTGTTTATTCATTTGTAGGTAAAAGCTAAAAACAAACAGCTAACATGTAATTTTTACGAATTGGTTTAGTTTCAGAGGAAGCGTTAGTGTTAGCAAAGATGAACCCAGTGTGACCGGTGCAAGTGAAACAGAAGGCGGCGCTGGGGACAAGTTTAAAGAGGCTGTCGCCAAGAGTCTAGGTGAAGGGAAAGCAACCGTTGAGGAAACTGCCAAAACCGCCGCACAAAAGCTCAAGGACACCTTTTCTTCCCATCATGATCCCCAAGAAGACCTCTGATCACTATAATGTAGAAAACATCTTTTTTTTTTCTTGTAATCGGTTTTGTTTTATTAAGTAAACATTTTTTTTTCTTTGATTTTGCCGTTTTTGAATACGTCCCAAATGGCTCCGCTCACGCGCATTGGAAAGTGTGAACACAATATTCTGGATATAATAAAGCAAGCAATACCAGCAACAACAGACAGAGAGAGGTTTAATGAATCATGTGTGTTTTCCTCACGCAACCAAAAAAAAAAAAAAAAAAAAAAAGATAATTGTTTATTTTGGGGCAGTTCCTTGTAATCATCCTCCACCTTTGAGAACCAAACAAGAAACGACGGAAAAAGCGGAGGACTTCAATTATTCTGATACTCCCAAAACCGAGCGCCACTGCCAAAAACAAAATAATGAAATTTTAAAATTAAAATAGTAAGATGTGTAAGTAGTAAAGAAGGTTAGTTATATGTAAGTGAGTGAGATAATTGAGTAGTAGGCCAGAAAACAGATTATTAGATATCCAGTAAAATTATTATGTCCTATGGGGTATAATTATTATTGTATTCTAAAGCATGGAAAAGCGAATTTCCCACTACCAAAATACACAATTAAATAAAGGCCAGGCCGGGTAATCATCATACTTAACATACAAGGGTAGTAGGACGTATTTATACAGGACTACTTATCACACACATTCACGCTCCTCATCATTCTTTTTTTTGTTTTTTTTTTTTTAATTTCATTACCGAACAGAAAGTGCAACATATTGATTTACAAATTGTTTCTACACAACTTCAAAATATTCTAAATTGTAAGATACTTTTCACATGTTCCATGACATTGCCTAAAAGCTTCCTTCCTGTTCTAAAGTGTTCACTACAGTGTAGGGTGGAGTGGAAGCTTTTGTCAAGGGGTTGGCTAAAAAGACACCCCAATTTACCATTTAGACAACCCTAATTAATTTTTGAAGTATTTTTATTGGTTGAAATTGCCTTGTTTTCCGAAAAAACTGATTACAAGTAGTTGATTATAGGTTGACTTTTTATAAAAATGATGATAGGGTGTCTTATTAGCAGCACCCCTTTGTGAAAGGTGATAGTTGAAACTTTGATTAGGTTATAAACAGCTTTCCATCAACTTGGATGAGATTGAGGGTTATCTATCGCCTTTCATCGGGGGATGCACCTCGGTTTTTGTATGTCGTTAACTTTTTGGGACTTTACGCCCTTTTACTTTAAAACAGAAACCAACCAACCTACCCGATTAAAACATCATTATCATTACTATATACTATACCACACAAAGGAGAAATAAAAGTCAAAATATCAAACTTAAGGCCTACACCCTACTTTAGTATGTCTCTTTATCCGTTCCTATAAGTCCGTCTCTATTTTATGATTCCATTTATGGGCTCAAGGATGATTAAACAGATATCTTGTTTTATACTAAAGAAGGTTATGCACACTAGTAGGGTCCACATGAGGGCTGATGAATATGGAAAAAAAATTATTATCTAATAAAAAATGTTGTCATTAAGCATGATAAATCAGAGCCTAGAGGCATATGGCATGAGCATGTGGTATCAAACTTTGGTGATAAAGCTAGTAGCACTGCACTTCAACAAGATCTAGAAGAAACTTATGAGTTCTAAATCAGGGTTAAAGCAAGTCGAGTATGTTGTGTAATTTACTGGTACATACATGATACATGATGATAGATATATTTGTTTTATGCATGAAAGAAGAAATTATATAACACATTGTCATGTTTTTCTTTGCACAAAATGATGTTACGATTATATAGCAAAGATATATGTTTTATTGCATATTAAAATTAAAATGATGTTAGGACACTTGGTATTGAAAGTCGGACAGGATATGGCGTAACTTATAAGACAGCTGTAAATTGACCCCGGGCTACTATAAGCTCATGGAAGACATTTAGAAGAAGGAAGACATTAACTATTATTCTTGAACCAAATTCGATAAGATGCTTAGGAAAAATGCTAAATCACAGAACCATAACTATTCACAAAGCTTAAAGGTTACATTTTCCATACATGTGTATATAGAAAGTTAATTCGTGTACAACTTATGAAAAGTTTGGAAAGAAATGGTTGAATACTTTGTTGATGGGAAGTAGATCAACTTTGGTTAAACCCATGTTTGGAAGTTTGGGTCTTATCTTCTCTCAATGTTTAGATCTCCAACTAGGGTTTTGAATGATCTTGAAAAAAATGGGTCAGTACATTTTTTGGGAAGGTGAGATGGGAGATCAAAAAGTGCAGTGGGTGGGTTAATTGGAAGAAGATTCTCGAATCTAAACAAATAAGATGATTGAGAATTGGTAATCTTTTTTGCTACCAAACCGACTTTATTAACTACATGACGATGATGTTTTTTCAATGCACACAATTCTTTATGGATTGAGTGGATTAAAAATATTCACAAGGATTACGAGTTATTTCAAACCGGTTGTAGAAGAAACATTGAAGGCTCCGTGAGTGCATTTGGTTAAAAACATTAATGGTTCAGTTGATCATAATTTGGATATGGCTTCTTTTATGACTCAAAGCCGAATTGTAAACAATGGTGTATAGGCATGACACGCAAAGTTGATCATAAGTTGGCTACTTGGTTTTTATGATTGTATGATTTGGAAAGGTTGCTTCGTGTTATGTGGGAGTGGGAGTGTAAGGAATAGAAAATAGGTTAATCCAAGTTCCTTTGAATCAACAATCCTTGTCCAACATAGTGAAGTCATCTCAGAGAATGTAAGGAATAGAAAATATTTAGATATTGTGGTTATGACCTGTGACTACCTTATGAATGACTTAAATATTTTGAAGGGGCCAATGAAGGAACTTTACTTATGGATTTCGGCTACAAGTAAAAGTTTAGTCCAGTGGGGCCAGAAGATTCAAAATCCATTGCTTGATTCTTTGAATTTTGAATGTTGTGTTTCTCTGGCTAGTTTTGGTTTAAGAAAATTCAACCTGTTGTTAATATTGTTGTATCAAACCACGATGATGTAACGAAAGATAATCTGAGCTATAGAACTTTCTAGTTTGTATACAGGTTGCAAGATACTGAAGATGAATGCGGATGGGGTGTTACAATATGTGTGTATGCATACATTACATACACACACAAAGCCTAATCCAACAAAAGAACTACACAATGAATAAACTAAGTACTAAAAGAACACATGCTCAAGCTTAAATCTATTCATGTTTTTTTGCTTATTCGGCGTTCTCGTATCAGTTGTATATATAAAACAACAAAAATTTGTTGCGTCACCTCCTCTACAAAAGCATAACATGTATATTTGATTTTATAATTCTTTAGTTAATCTCTAGTTTCATAATTTGTGATATTCAAATCTCTCCACTTAAAGGGGCAAATTTGTATGCTTGTATTTATGACCTAGCAATTCAGGAATACGGTCAACACCACATCCAGTGTGCAAAGCAAACTACCTATACGTTAGCAGCAATAACTCAAACCAACTATAAATACAGACAGCATATATGCAGGTACAACCTCGATAATTATAGTAATTTTATTCTTTTGTCCTCCAGCCTTATTTTGGTCCCTTCTTCCAGTAATATGTGTTATTCCAGGAAGAATATGCTTTAATCTTATTAAGGTATTGCACACTCTATCAACTTAGTACATTTACATTAACCACCACATAAAGCACAACACATACTCACATATCAAGTAAGTAGTCATCTTTCACAAGTATTGCATCTAAATCTGCTTGGGAATTTTTCAAGCATCTCTTTCTATTTTTTTTTAGTATCCTATATAGAGCTATTTATCTTCCCATATTACATTTGGGAGGAAAAGCGCATGCTTCAAAAGCCTACCATAAGGATGTATGATAAGGAACATCTATCACTAATTTCCACAAGGACGGAACGAAACGGCATTTCATGGCAATAAATTGATGACGGCCAATCAGGGTCGTGACATGAATCAGATAAAAATCATATTTTTAAACGTAATATGTAAACGGGGATCAATGTCAACATTTGTTAGAATGTAAAGTGATCTAGATTCATTGCTACGCATCAGCAACTACCAATCCCAAACATAAATTCGGATTGAAAAAGACAAACAACAAACAGAAGTTTCCTTTAATCGTTCATGACAGCATATGTTAACCGATTTCAAAAGTGTGGTAGATCTTATTCGCGACAATTTTATAATAAAAATCGAGCAAAGTAAAGGAATTTACCTCGACCGGATAAACAAATTAGTGGCCGCCGTGCTCTTTGGCATGTTGCTGATGCTCAAGGTGACGTCGCTCCTCAGGAAGAGCGACGAGGTAAGAGAAGATCATGCCACCAAAGCAGATATGATAGAGAGGTGCGATCGAGTCGGTCAGGATGTATTTGGCATGGTAATTATCCAATGATCTCTGAATAAAATTTTTCGCGTTGCTCGTTGTCACCATCGGCTTCACATGCGCCGGCACGTCTTTCACTTTCATTCCCTTGATCTCGCTGAAAAACTTCCTCATCGCCATTTCCAGATAGAGAGAGAGAAAGATAGATCGAATCTGCGAAACCCTAACCCTTAGCTTGGTTGATTGAAGAGGTAATTGGGCGAGCAACTTTGTGGTACTATTGACAAATCCCCGTTTCCTTTTTTATTTTTAAGTTTTGGCATTTCCTTGTATAGGCAATTGGGTCGGGTAATACCCATTTTAGATGAAATACAGATCAGACCCATAAGAATCAAGGGGGGTGTCCAGCATTGGTTGTTTTAAACAAACTTTTGTTTTTTATATAAAATTAGCTTAATCGGTATTATAATATATTAAAATACGCTTGAATTAACTTATATGATAATAAAACGCAATAAATTGATACATCGTTATTTAGTGATTGATAAATTTTGTTTGTATATTTAAAATGACCAAAAATACAATGGTAAAAGGGTAAAATGGCATGCATGTTGTTGGTGATAAACAAAGGAAAACGAGGTAGGTTTTCTAGGATTAAAACAATCGAAAACGGTAAATTGATTTCCACATATACTAAACATTTTTAAATAAGTTATAAGGCTTTAAAATAACAGATTGTTCAATAAACATCTTATGTATCCAACACTCAAAAAATAGTAATTAATAGCATCAAACTGTAATGAAGTAATAATCTCAAACACCCTTGGGTGCCTCCTTAACCATATTCCTCTTATGTTCTTTTAGACATATCATGTTTATATACAATTTTTATTTAGATAATAACTAAATGAACAATAATGGAAGCCCTGTGTCACAAAATGATCATGTTTTATATGCAATAATAAATGTATTAACCACTCAATTTTGAGTTAAATTAAGAAAAATATATTACATTACATATAAATTCATACACGACTTGCAACTCTATTTACACCATGAAAACTAAATTCTTCTCACCTATTCATATATTACAAGTTACAACATATGATATCATCAACATTGACACATTAATACCCCAACCAGGTGGGTGGTATTGGCTGAAACTTCTGCTTTGCACAACCAAGTACATCATAATATTCCTCCATTCGGCTAAAACAATCCCTGAAATCCGTAAACAGCTTCTCAAATACCTTCCACAGGACTTCATATGATCTTGAATATGGGAATGGAAGAAATGCCTGCAGATTCAACCAACATCAACTTAATCATATTCATAACTTGCAACTTCAATCTAATTAAAACCTTCTCCATCATGACTGTCCTATCTGGACAAGACAGGGCATGACATGAACTGACAGCACAGGACAGGACAGAACAGACCAGGATAGGTTATAATGTGAAAGATATGTTGAGTAGACGACTTACATCTCCCTCAAGTGCAAGGCGCTTGAGCAACAGAAATGTTTTCTCACTTTCTTCCAAATTTTCAATTACTGCCAACCAAATTTTAGAAGCAAGGTCATGAGCCTTCTCCCTTGACATGCCACAAGCTATAAATTGATCTAAAGAAACAACACCAGTATAATTAATACCATAAGCATCAAGAAGTAGCTAGGAAAAGACACTGGTCAGGGTAAATTCCGTATAAATTAATTCATCAAGTAAGTCAGGCAGGAAGAAATACACAAAAATGCAAGCTCACCTATTATGGTTCCATGAAGTATTCCAGATGAACACGGCATTTTTGTAATCTCAAGTTGATCTTTCAGAAACAGATAAGTATGACCTACAAGCTCATCCATTTCACCATCCAGTGAAAATAAATGTTTGCTCACATATAATGCAGCATACCTCCTGAGAAAGTAGGGTTGTTGATTTGTTGTTGAAGATGTATAGTAAAGAATCCATATTGTTCATAATAATTCTGTTTCTATCAACTATAAGAACTTGGTTATGCCATGTACCTTTTGCTTGATCCTTGAGGAATTGGACCAGGCCACCTTTTAGCCTGGGAAACTAAAGGAAAACTTCTGATAAGAGCAGCATGCCACAGGCATTCTTCTTGAAAGAGATGAGCCCATTGCCTTGATACACAAGATACTACTCCCCACTCCATGATGGGAACTCGGATAAAGATTTCAACGAGTAGATGATCAGGGAGTTTACCAAAAGGGTCATCTGAATTAGGTAAACAGACACTTCTGTTCTTATCCGCCATTACCCTGGAGAAGCATATGATCAGCCAAGCAAGGATCGTATAAGTATCTAGTTCTGAGAGGAGATACTATCAATTTTTTCTAGATAAAAGTTTCAAATTCGTCACAGTCAGTTAGCGCCCCTTGTTCTTCTACTTGCTTAAGATGGATTGTTCTGCTTATTAAGTAAGCTAAATTTCTGGAAGGGCAAAGGATAATATTTAAATTGTAGTATCTATTCGGCTTGTGGTTAAAAATTAAAGCACGAACATGAGGGATCTTATAATATGGAGCAGAAATTACTTACTTAGTGGCTGAAAGGAGACAGGGGAAGCATCTACAGCAGATATTCAACTGATTGTTGAAGATTCCGCATTCATCAACGACAAAAGTCACAGAAGAGGATCGAGAAGCAGATGATGAGATCAACAAACAACACCAGCAGCAAAGGAGATGATGGATGAAGAAGATGGATCAGTAAAGGAGGAAGCGATTGATACGTGAGAGATGGAGAAGAGGAGATGGTGGTGGCTGGGATGTCATGTCTTATTTCTTACATCATAAAAGTCGGAATATTAGATTTTTAGGAAAATGACATAAAAACAGTTTTAAAAAAATATTTGTTTTATCCTCGGTCATAGGAACTTAGACCACCTACGCCCCGGTGAAAACCACCTCGACCATATCAGAGTAAACAACAATGTCGAATCAGGCCGCCCCTTGCCTTGAAAGAATTAACACGTGGCCACCAGCTTTCCCAAAATAAGGGGGGATCTGCTGCTTACTGCTCACGGAAACATCCGACCTATACTATAAGTCGTCCGCCTAATTGCACGTGTTTTAGGTCCAATAAAGCCGGATGTTTTGTTTAAATTGTTCATTTATACCATTTTAGCTGGTTTCCAGGTAACCCGTTACCTGATACCAGTAAAGTCCTTGAGTTTTTTTCAAAATTATTCGTATTTACCCTTAAGTTTTCAAAACTGTTCGGATTTATCCTTATTTTGAATTTTTGATTATAATTATTATTATTATTATATATGTTTAATAGGTTCTTGAATGCATAAAAATATTTTCATAAATTTAAAAATATATTTACTTATATTTAGAATTTAAAAATATATTTAATTCTATTTACTATTTATATACATTTGAAAACCAATGTACGTCTTTAAAAACGTATTTATATATTAAAAATATATTTATTTTTATTTAGTATATATATATATATATATATATATTTCGTATAAAAATATATTGTATACATATAAATATAAAAAATATCTATTTATAAGGTTTGTATAGTATATAAGATATAATTATATGTATTTGTACATATTATATGTATTTATTTCATATATATATATATATATATATATATATATATATATATATATATAGTTTTTATATTTATATGAATATTTATATGAATATGATAGTTTTTATACAAAATAAATACATATTTATATCTATTAAATACATTGGCAAATGACATAAAAGCCGTTAAGTTTTCAAAAAAAATGTCGGTTTTACCCTTAGACGTGTTTTAGGTCCAGTAAAGTTGGATATTTTGTTTAATTTGTTCATTTATACCCTTTTAGTCGGTTTCCGGTTAACCTATCGGTTACCTGATACCAGTAAAGTCCCTGAGTTTTCAAAATTATTCGTATTTACCCTTAAGTTCTCAAAAATGTTCGGATTTAACCTTATTTTGATTGTTATTTTGATTATTATTATTATTATTGTTATTATTATTTTGATTATTATTATTATTATATTTTTATTTGTAATTGTAGGTATAAATAAATATTTATTTCATATAAAAATATATTGTATACATATAAATATAAAAATACATATTTATAAGGTTTATATTGTATAAAATATATAATTATATATATTTGTACATATTACTAAGTATAAATATGTATTTATTTCATATTTTTATACAAAATAAATACATATTTATATCTATTAAATACAAATAAAAATATTTTTAAATGTATAAATATGTTTTTTTTTGTATTTAATAGATATATTTATTTGATTGTATTTAATAGATATAAATATGTATTTATTTTGTATAAAAACTATCATAAGCATATAAATACGAAATAAATACATATTTATACTTAGTAAGCAAACACTCAAAACTTTTTTTTTTGTTTTGGTTCATGAATCACCAAAATAGTTAAAAAAAAATATTTTGTTTATATGTATTTTACCATATAAATACATATCATATATATATATATATAAATATATATATATATATATATGAAATAAATACATATTTATACTTAGTAATATGTACAAATACATATAATTATGTCTTTTATACAATATAAACCTTATAAATAGACATTTTTATATTATATGTATACAATATATTTTTATACGATATATATATATATATATATATATATATATATATATATACCTACTAAATAAAAATAAATATATTTTTAATATATAAATACGATTTTAAAGGCGTACATTAGTTTTCAAATGTATATAAATACTAAATATAAGTCAATATATTTTTAAATACTAAATACAAGTAAATATATTTTTAAATCTATAAAAATATTTTTATACATTCAAAAACATATTAAACATATATAATAACATTAATAATAATAATAATAATAATAATAATAGTAATAATAATCAAAATAATCAAAATAAGGATAAATCCGAACATTTTGTAAAACTTAAAGGTAAATACAAACAATTTTGAAAACTCAAGGGCTTTACTGGTAGATTAACTACTAACTTGGCCTTTATTGCTGACAGGTACAACTTCTCTATACTGTGCCCTAAGCCTTGGATTGTCATTTTTTTAAATAAGTGATTCTGTAACATCCCAAAACTTTCAGATAAAATTTTTTATTTTTAAATTCATTCCAATCGTACGATAATCATACTAAAACAGTCAAGAGTATATCATAATAAAATATTATCAGAGTATAAAATCCCAAAATTACGTGAGGATGCAGTGCGGTCAGGCCAGACCCTTCCCTTTTCGAGTTGGAAGTACCTGAAACATAAACTGAAAACCATAAACACAAAGGTTAGTGAGTTTCCCCAAAATACCCCATACCATATATAATAGTCAAGCATATATGGGTGCTTTCAACCGCTACTGGGTATATTTCAACCCCTTCGGTCTCTAATAGTTTCATTTTATTTACTTCTTTTTATAGTTTATTTTAGCACATTCCATCTCATTTTAGTTAATCTTCATGCATATTTTCTCTTTTTGTTATTTTTCTCCTTTACCGGGTGCTTTCCAGTCTTTTGAGCTTATTTGCAGGATTTATCGAAGACAATTTGTCATTGGAGGTATGGAAGGAGTGCGGGACTATTAGGGGCTTGCAATTTGTTCGTGAACTTGAAGTGTGGCGATTGGGCTCGGTGTCAGTACAAGCGGGATGTGCGTTGGATTTTATATTGGACGAAGACTCGAGTTGAGGAAGATTAAGGAGCATTGGATCAATCAAAGAAGGCTTTGGAATGGCACAAATGGGCTCTAAAGAATTATGCATGTGGGCTGAAGTGTGAATGAGAAGATTGGGCTAGATTTCATGTTAAATGGCCCAAGTCCCACATTCAGCATGACCCACGCGGTACGCGTGGACCCATACGCGGTCCGCGTGAAATGTGCTGACTTGATTCCGAGTTTTGACTTGTTGACTCTACTTGTGGAAAGTTGGTGGGTAGCTTTTGGGCAACTTTTTGAATCGGGAATTAAACCTTATCTGCTGGAGTTTGGGAGCATTGAAGAGGATTATCACTTGAAGAACACACACAATTCTCTCTCAAGGAGGTTTTGGAAGATTTGAAGATTTTTGGAAGATTAGTGTAATTTCTTTCCATCTTGCAACTAGAACAATGTTTGGTACCACTAAACTATCTTGCATTTCTCTTATTTTGGCCATGCTTGGCTAGATTTTCATTTGGTTGACTTGGATGTAATTGCTTGAATGTTTTGGTTATTTTGAAGAATTCCATGAATTTGTGTTGAATATCTATGATTATATTTTCTATGAAAACTTCCTTCATGTTTATATATCTCTAGTCATGAATATTGATATGTGAATGTCATTTTTGTTGGTTAAATTCTTGGCTAAGTAATGGGTCTTCAATTTAACAAGCAACAATTAGTTTAAATGTTTGTTTTCATTTCATTTAGACTAAGAAAATATTTTCTCCATAGTGGTAATGAAAGCAATAGATTACTCTTTGGATTTGGTGACTCTTAAAACCTAATGCTAATTGATTTTCACAAAATTACATGTTTCATTAGTTTTGTGACTTTGATTTAGGAAATGTACTATGAGCTTCTCTAGTCATTTTAATACAAAAGAAGAGTTGAGGCAAGTTATGCTTATAAATTGCTATAGCCAAGTTAGATTTTAAACACAAGTATTGCACCTTGGTATTCTCATGATTATTCAACCAAATATTCAAGTAATGAAAGTCCAAAGTCAATCATCTTTCTCTTATTGATTTTACATCAAAATCTTGCTTTTGTTAAATTGTCCATTTGAATCATAGTTTAATTCTAGTTTGTTTCAAGCATTTCAAAACACCAAAACCCCCATTTTTAATTTATTGTCATTTTCCAAGTATTTTTACAAAGAGATTTTTCATAGAGATATTAAATTGAACCAATCTCCGTGGATTCAATCCCTTTACCACTATACACTATTTTAGTGTAAAAGATTTAGGGTTATTAATTTTGTTGGCCTCGACAACCACCAAATTTTGGCGCCGTTGCCGGGGATTGGTTTATTTTTAATCAATTTGTTTCTCTATGCCCAGATCTCAGCGTACAGGTGACTTGATTTACAACCCAGAAAATGAAAAAGAAGCAAGGCGTTTGGCGAAGGAAAAGCGAATTGAACGTGGTCAAACTTCTAATCCTCACGGGGATCCGGAGGTTGAACCCGCTTCATCAAGTGACACGGAACCCGATTCTAGTCCCGACCCTCGCCAAGAAATTCCGGAAACACCACCTCTACAACAAAATCCACCCATTATTGAACCAATTGCAATGGCGGACTATAACGCCCGTAGATCCGGGCTAGTCAATTTAGAGACGATAAGCATCAAAAATGACTTTTTGATGGAAGATTAATTAGAAGGATTAATCTTAACCAAGTTGTAGTATATGTCTTGAGGTTTCCGAAAATATAAAGAACGCCGAAATCCGAGTTATAACGAAGAAGTTATGACTTGTCGAAGTTTCGCGACAAAACCGACACGGTGTCGAATGTCGTAAAAAAGTGAGTTTTTGATAAACTACTTTTTAGCCTTAGTAATCTAAACGAAACTCGTAGTATTCGTTAAACCGAGAAGTTCGATAAAAAGAACGCCAAAATCTGACTTCGTATGAGGAAATTATGATTTTTTTAAGTTTCAGCTTAGCAGTAGACAGCTAAAAACTCGAATTTTAGATCGAGTGATTTTTAGCCGACACAACCTAAACGAGAATCGAAGGTCTCGTAAATAGTAGCATAACGGTAAAAAGTCAGACGAAAACGGACGTCGGATGAAGAAGTTATGAATTTTTAACGGATTTCCTGTCCCGGTCTGTTAAAAATAATAATACAAAAATTAAAGTCAAAATTAGCCGAGGAAGTATGAACGAAAGTTGTAGAGCGTAATTTTACCTACGC